TTTCTACAATTGAAGAACATATGGAACTCGAAACAACTTTCAACCAACATCAAAGTCAGAATCTTCAATACGAAAGTCAAGACAATTCTAGTTTACGGAGCTGAAGCATGGAGAACTACCACAACCATCATCAAGAAGGTGCAAGTATTTATAAATAGCTGTCTATGCAAGATACTCGATATGCCTTGGTCGGATACCATCAGCAATATTCTACTGTGGGAGGGAGCAAACCAGCTTCCAGTTGAAGATGAACTTAGTGAAAGACATTGGGATTGGATGGAATACACATTATGGAAATCATCAAACTGCATCACGATGCATGCGCTAACTTGTAATCCTGAAGAGAAACTGGAAAGTGGAAAGACAATGAACACACTGTGTCTAGAATTGGGAGCACACATCAAAAGCGTGAATATCAACCGTCAAGTTACCTAGTTGACTAAAATAGAATCGTGGAACCGGCTAAACTGCAGTTTAAACAAAACACTTTCACATTCGAGACGGCAATGGTGGCAAATTTGATAAAGTCTCAAAAAGATTGCGTCCATCTGGTAATTGTCTGATTCAGCGTATCTGTTTCCAAGAAGTTGTCAGACTAATCATTCCCATTAATGTCTATAGAACTAATTATATTCACCTTTTCGTAAACAGACGTTGAGACTGTAAATAAAGCTAAGACTATATTATCATAAACCAACTCTTAGTTACTTGTAAATACGAGGTAAAAACAGTTTTCATCCCAGATGTTTTCTCCAATAACCTTTAAGCATAGTTGGTGAAATGCGTTTTAAAACAATTTAGCACTCATAAGAGAATGATAGTGCTTAGGATGGCACTAATCGAGTCTTTTAAATCTTTTGGTTACTACTATAAATGGTTTTAATATACACAGAAACCACTTCTTGGTTGGACAGTACGAACAGTTATTAACTGTAAATTCTAAAGTAAACCCAAATTAGTGTTATTTAAATATGGAGCAGATCAATCTTAACAGGCGTCCTTAAGTTAACTTCCCATTTTTTTGCAGTGAAGTTTAAGACAAGTTGAATAACCTTAAAAAATTTTGATCGTGAGTAAATACGGGGTGGTGAAATAATCAATAATAGAATAAAGTTCATCGGTTTACAGTACTAATACTCTGTTAGGCAGTCATTTTAACGGTTTGATTTGTAGCTCAAATTAATAACCTTTAATCAATGGCATGTAATATATTTAGGAAATATGGACAACTATATGCGTAACGGTCGTATTTGTATATAGTTAAATTTAGACAAATTCAAACAGTTGTAGGTTACTGTATGGGGATATGGCACGGAGTACATACAGTTTCATATTCAGTAGAATCATCTATTTGATCAGGAGTAATTTCATTGAAAATTAAGTAGTTTCGTACGATAAAGTATCATAAGAAAAACGATTCGTGAATGATAAATCAGTTTCTTCGAAACTGTCAAGTCAAAGTGCTATTACCATAAAAACAAGACAAGTTTAATATCAATAATCAAAAAAATAAAAAAATAAAATTCACATTATAATTCACAGCTAGTTAACATTTAATCCAGAGTTTTTTGAAAACTTGTTTCTACAAGGTCAATTCTCATTAGTCATTTCCAACAAAATAATTGAGTCCTTATTAATTGTTTATACATAACATAATAATTGTATTATGAACAAAAGTCTTTTATTCTGTAAGCTTTCTCCCTCTCTCTCTCTATCTTTTGTTCGTTACTAAAAGATTAAACTTGTTTGTTATTATATTCAGAAAAACGTATATTTAGTTATGATAATTAGCCATGATAATGAGCTTTGCATAGGGAATTGTATAGACTAAAATAAAGGAACGTATCAATAAAATAAATTACTTCGGTATTGAAAAAAGATCAAATCCGGTTATTACTAAACTAAAAGCAAATATTTTAAATGAATAATGTTTAGTAAAGAAATTTGTCTTTCCTGTCAACAGATTGTAAAGACGTTTATTAGGAGAAAATTTCTTAGGAGCATCTGTTCTGATTAAATCACCACTTTGATCAGTTTATTCAGTGTCTGACAGTTATTTAAGTATGAGTGTAATAGAAAATGCTTTCGTCTTAGTGTTTTTATTTTGCAGAATATAAGTTATTAATTCCTTGTGGATATGCAGATAATGGTTTCAAGATTTACACAGTAACATGGTAATTTTTAGTAAGCTGAAGACACCGAATCTTAGTATGATCTTTTTCGATAAGAATCAAAATTGATGCGTTGTATTTTTTGACGAATATGGATTGATTGAAATGGTTTGCACTAGTTTCTAGAAGAAAAATAGACTGCTGAAAAACAGACTTAACATTAAAATCACACTTTTGTGTTCTAGGAAATGGTTCATTCAATTATTTTTGAGTAATTGGAATTGATTTCATTCTTTGTTAGAATAGCACAATTATAATCTAAGTGATGATTGCTATGATATATTATTTTCATAATAGATTTGCTAGGCTGTATTCAGTTTTTAATATCATTAAGATTATTTCGGTAATAAATAGACCGTTCATCATTTCATGTTAATTGTCTACCTTTGGGGTAGTTTTATACGATGTTATATACAATGTTTAAACTGAATAATCATCATTAGATAAATGAATTTTAATTAGTAAATAAATGAATTAAATTGAAAAATTGCGAGGAATATCAAAAAATCACAAAACTAGTCTTCACTATTTAGAAATAACTGTATTTAAACTAGTTAGACATTTCCGATAAGCATAACATTGAAATAATACAGTTTATGCTAACTATTATTGAATGAGATAAGAAAATAGTATGAATTCAGTTAACATATGTCCAGGTATTATTTCAATCATTCTCTTTTGTATGGTTCAGCATAATATTAAAATCTCTCTATCTATAATCACTAACCAGGAATGTAACTTATACATTGTGTTGATTTTTAATGAACCAAACAAGTATAAAACCTGAATCGCTCGGTTATGAATGAATTTATACACCCTATTTATTGTATAAAATAATTACGTCATAAAAACGTACTTTTCTTATCTGATTGCTGAGACATTTACTGAACTGTCGTTGTGCAATAAAATATAGAAACCATTTATAGAAATATGAACTAACACTATTGTTTACATAAACAATATTTGGGACTTGTATATATGAATAAAACATCTTCATTGCTTCAAATTTTAATGTTTAATATTTTTTCAAGTGCTACAGTTCCAAAGATGTGTGTTTTCTTTATGTAGCCTTCATTGCAAACAATAGTTCCTGTTCAGAATTTAAAGAAATTAGAAGAATTTGAACAAACTACCTCTTATAAGACATCTTCTTCAGCGATATAGTGTGACTAGAATTAGCATACGGATTTAAAACAGAGGAATCTAAAATTACTACACAACAATGGAACAAATCTTTATCGTCAATGGTCACTAATAAAGTCCAAAAGTTTTATGTGGATTACATTACATGTTTTGTCGTTACTTATATATATTTTTTATTTACGGTTTTACATTCTGAGTTTATAGATTTATCCGGCCATTATGAATAAATCTTATTGAAAGCATAAATAATAGAAGCTTCTTATGATATTCCGATGTATTAATATAAATAATTTCAAATAACTAGATAAATAAATGAAAAGAAACTCAAGTAATTATGAATGACTTCATAATGACCTTCTCATTCATCTACAACCAACTATGGAATAATGTCAACTGTGACTTTAAATGGTATTTAGATAAGACAAAAACGATGAACAAGACGTATGTTAATAATATTGTTTTCAAAACGATGTTTGCCAGATTATACGCATATATAGTCATAGTTACATATATAGTACTACAAATATCAATAGTGTTATTTTGATAACGTGAAGCCACCTTTAAATGAAACGATTTTCATAAGTAACTTTGAGTCATTTTTATATAAAATTCTACCGAAATTGATAAAAAAAATCTGATGTAATTACTATATAAACCTTATTTTCTTGTATGTGTGTTCTTCTAATGAATCAGTTTAATGACAATTTAATTCAAATTAATCACCAAGTTTATAAGTTAAAAAAGTTCTTATTTGCAATAATGTCTTAGTAATTGTAGGTTAAGAAGCATCAAGGGGAGATAGACGGGATGATGATTAAATGGTTACAATTACTGAATTTGCTGATGATTTAGTACTAAATGAACACGAGCAGCTGATATCTTTCATGGAGTTATGGTATTGTTTTTAGCATAGGGTAACTACATTGTCCAAATACTTGTCATCAATTATAAATTTACTTATTATACGTCTTTCTGAACTATAATTACTGAGCTATTTTTGTTGAAATAACGTCGAAGTATAACTTAATAATAAACAATATATACTGCAAGATAAATACAACAAATATAACTATGGAATCGAATATCTATTACTTATTTCTAAAAATCGAGAAATTCAATTATCTTCGCAAATTTATTTCAAAATGATCAAATTTAAAGGTTGGTGATTATATCTAAAAGCTTTTATCTATCTGTCTATCTGGTTTTTCATTTCACACACAGATTACTAGTGTGTTATATATTATTAGATCAATGTAACAGCCCAATTAAACGAGTTCTTTTAGCTGTTAATCAGCTACTGTTATTTCTATGAAGATCGAAAGACTGGGTAATATAAAGCAAATAATCGAAAATACTTTGTTTCATTTATGATAGTTACCCTCTTCAACAACATTTTAGATGAAGCTCGGATTTTGTTATAAAACGGCTGAAAAAATCCATATTACGTCCCTTTTTCAAAAATGATAATGAGGATAATCGTTCTTAGGAGTGTTTTTTAAGGTATATGGAAACTGTTTGTTTGTTTAGAGATACAACATTTGTAAATTTATTCCATATGAAGACAATAAGCACTAACTGACATCTTGGAATAGAGAATACGGGAACAAATCTTTACTAACCAAACAACTGAATAGAAAGTATAACACCAAAAGTAACTAAACCCGAAACGGGTTTCCAGATTATTACTTTGTAATGACGTGAATTGTGCAATTAACTGCCGATGTTAATTAAGTATAGTCACTCTTTCCTGAGAATTGACTGAATTTAAACATATGGAAGATTGTATACTGGCTCCATTTCTCAACGGTATCCTGGATATTGAGGGAGTAGATGTTTCTGAATTCAAGTTTATTCGGGATCTTGACAATACACTGCAGAAGAATATGATATAATGATAATGCAGATATCGTTTCTTTCTAGTTTTCAATAAATCTCCACACATTCTCAGCTAATTACTTAAACTGTATGCAAGTTTTTGAATGAGCTTTTTATTAAATGATAATATGTATCTTGATCAAATTCATTCCTATTTGAACGTGTGAAAAGGCTTTATGGCCCTCAGTCCTCTCCTTTGGATCAAAAAATATTTTGGTTAACTATCTTTTAGATGCTTTTGTTTATTAATACTTCAAATGTGATGGTAAATATTATTTCAATTAAAAGTACTTAGTATATTTCATAGTCACCTCATTTGACCTACCAGTTGTTGTTTAGTCAACTAATATAGATCAAATCAATAATTGCATGAGAATAATGAAGTGTATTTTCAAAGTAAGTTCTCTCCCAAAAAGACAATTTTGATCTATCTCTTTTTTTATATTATAGAGGGGACTTGGCTTACGTCTTTGAAAATTGCTTAGGAGTAGATATCTCGAATATAGTACTTCACGTTTATTGGGAAAAAGTGCCATGTGTTACCTGAATTTTGAAAAAAGAACAGTAAATGTTTGTGTTTAAATAAATAGTAATTAACTAGATTAACTATTTGTAAAACTGAAAGAACTCATTATGATTGAAAACGGATGCTAATCAAATGTTATTAAATTTCAGTCCAACACCGCTGTCTACTTCTAGACCACCTAAGGCATAGACGATGAGTAAATTTTGAAGTTACCTTAAATGATAATTAAGAATCTTTAAACCATAAACCAAGTTTACTGTGTAGTGAGCTTTAAACAAACCAGTCATCAATTGTTTGCTCTCTCATAAACAAACACTGATATAAAATTCACATTCATTCATTTAACAGGAATATATCACAGAAAATTAAAGGTGATAACGCTCATATTTATATATATGACGGTTTGGCAATTATTTATAGTGAAATAAACTGAGTTTATCCAGCAATTTAGTCGTAATAGTTATGTTTGTCCACTGATCACTTATTATTCTTAAGTTAGAAGGAACACATTAATTATCATTCAATAACCTGATTTTCGATGCACGTAGTTGGCTTAGCTTTTAAGTACTTTTTGACGTAATAACTTAAAGATATAAAACTAGAGAACAATCTAATTCTGTCAGTTTTTTGCATAATAACGTTGATAATCTTCGGTTTGATGATATGAAACTTATTTTACCTGTTTATTTGGATATAATCCAATGTTTACAATTATCCTCTATTTCAGTAGTAAAACGTCAGTTATACGAATTACGACATTAATAACATTTTAAAATAGCGTAGACATATATTACTACTTGTAGCATTAACATAATGTTCGGTAAGGTAGATGGAGTGATTCTAATTATTTTCAAAAGCACATTAAACAGTATTAAGGCATCTCTAGTTGAATACAAGTAATCTGGAAGCACATTCAATAGAAATGAATGCGTAAACGATTGAGGTTTATGAGCTAACATAGCTCAAGCCTGATTCCGGTTAACGTTTGTTAACATCTGCTAAAGCTGTTCAAGATATACAAACAGGGTACTTTATTTCCGAAATACATAAAGTATATTCATGAATATTGTTAATAATGGAATAGATTATCCAAAAGAAGCATAAATCATGGGTGTGATTCGTCTCAAATTTGATTTAAAAATCTAGATCAAAGGTTACTCCGTCAACCAGAGAGGATTTTTGAGTTAATCGAAACGTTGTTACATAAATGCACATAATCTTTGAGATTTTAAAAAACTGCCTATCAAAATTTCTTTTTCAGTTATTGGTAACAAGTTACGAACGTGAATCGAATAATATCATGCGTGTGGTCAAATCCCAAGTGTGCACTAAAATATAATTATTAAGTTATGCAATATAACTATGCTTTGTATGTTAGAGAGGTAGGATTTTCTGATTCCAGAAGCTCGAGAATAAGGTTTATGAATGAAAGTACCAGGTAGATTAATGGATTTGAATTCTTTAAAGGATTGAAGTGCCTTCGAATAATCGACAACGCGTAGGCAAGGGAAGCTTAACCCTAGAAACATATTTAACACCCTTCTATATATTGGAAACTCTTATTAATGTCTGAATTCTGGAGAAGACGATTTGGTAAGACTATAATTTATTGACAACGCTTGAGCGACGGTACATTGACCTGAAGAGTGTCCATCCAACAACAAGGACCAAATGATGGTTATAAAGCAGTATGAGGGATTAGAAGTATAATCTACAGTTGATGGTCAAGGTTAGGGACTACACTTAGGGTTTTCATCACGAACTGACATAATCTAATGCTATCTCATCCCTGATTGGTTCGCCCATAAATTATAATTTCCCCCGACGATTTTCTTTACCAGTTTTCGGACGTTTATTACACCATCATTTTATTTCAATAACTTCCGTTTCCTAAAATTAACATCAGTTGTATTTAAACGAATAGAATTAAGAAGAAAAAAGAAAGCATTAGCCTATTAGCAGACGTCACTACACAGCAGTAACAAAGGTATTTTAATTATATGCATTTTACTAAGTATTGCAACAAAACTCAAATGATTGAATGTAGATTATCTTAGTTTACAATGTTATTGACTTCATATCTCAAGAATATCATTTCCAGATTTAATTTTTGTGTTAATTAATATATTGATCTATTAGAAATTTCTATCAGAAAACTATAATCATCACAAAATTTCTGTAAATCAACATAAAAAGAAAAAAATACCCCAAGTTTGATTTGTGTAAGAGCCGCTCCTTAATAAATAACATCTTTTTACAATGTATTTTAACATTTAATTACATTGTTGGTTTAGAAATGAAATATATTTCATTTATATTTTCGTTTTCTTTCACTTGGATGTTGAGTCAGTTTCAATAATGAGTAAAATGTTTTTTGAATTATCTTTTAAAGCTGAAGTAATTACTTTTGTCTGGATTCTCTTTCTCAAAGAATATGAACCATTTCATAAGGATCAATGTTTTACAAATAATCGATAATGAGAATGTTAATTGTAACCACTCAATCCAACGATATGTAATGTAATGGTGATAATGTTGGAAGTATGGGTGAAACGTTTAGTTAGTTATAAATAAATAAGAAAAAAAAAGTGATTGTTACTGTAACACGAAATCAATTTATTCAGCTTACCGTTTTTTATGATAGTGGTTGTATAAACAAGATATCAACACGGTGAAGGCACATAAATCTATGCTGACAGATGCAGTTGTAAACGTATATTTGACACCAATAGTAAACTAACCATTCTATTAAAATTAACCCTCTACATAAAATATTAAGCTATCATATAAAGTGTTCCATGTGTTCAACTATTTTTTAAGAGTTGTTTAAAAGCTTTAAATTCTTGCTGATTGATATAGTTTTTAAGTAAAGCGTACAAACCCATAGATTTCATTATTGCATTAATATTGACATACAGAGTAAATATAGTACTTAAAGAATATACTTTGCTTCTGCTGTTGAATGAAACAGCTTATTAGCAGACAAGCTTGTTAATTTTTACTAAAACGATACAAGAAACCGGCTACTTTTTAATGTATAACGTAGGAAATAAGAAAAGTAGTGAGACTATTTACTGATAGTCAAATTAATTTGAATATATATAGAGTCATATTACTTGATGCTCATATTTTCTAGTTATGGTCGAAGCAATTGCTAAAAGTTGCCGAATAATACTTTTAACTGAAGTTAATAGTTTTTAACATTTTCATTCATTTTAGTGACCGTTAGACAGCTCAGTCTACTAGTTCATTTGTTTCATAGTTAAGTCCAGAACATAAAGAGTGTAACTTTGATGAAAACTAGTACTACTTGAAGGTTATTTGTCGGAAGTGCTTTAGAAGTTTCATTCATTCATAATATATATGAATTAATCGATTTCAAATAGCAACTCCAATATAGATGATCTGGAATACATAACAGATGTTTAGTTCTAAGCGTATCAACTGTTTAAAACCTTTAGAACGCAGATCTTTTCATTCTTCTTCATCTTACAATTTTGTAATTAATGCTGAAAATTGACAATTACTGTTTCTAAATTGTTTTTCCTCTGTTTTATCATAAAGCGTCGCGAGTGGAAAAAAAATCAAGAAAAACTTTTTTTAAGGTTTCTTTTTATGTGAATATAATTCAAAAGTTTACGTTGGTTACATGATATTTTTTACCACGGTGATCCATATTTTTGATAAATATTTTAAAGAAACATACATTATTCACAAAATGGAAGGAAAAATGAATTGGTCAAACATACGGTGCAACTATTTCGATCAGCTCATTAAGTGAAATAAACTATTTAGAAATTCGAGAAAATTAGTTCAGAGAGAGAGAGAGAAAGGGAGTGGCGAAAATTCTATTCAGTTGATTATGCAAAATTCATGAAAATGCCTGGAAAATATAGTATCAATTTAGTGTAAACCTATCCATTATTTGTCAACTGGAAAGTATAATTAGACTTATAAAATATAAAGAAGATAATTAGATTTTTATAATTAAATTCTGCCTAGATGTTAGATTTTTTTCGTTGTTTTTTTACGAAGTCAGTAGACAGACTTCATAATTTACGTTTTGACAAAATTTAACATTCGTCTCTATTTAGGAAAATTCGACCAGACAAGTTGCTGAATTTAGATCAACTGAATTGTTAAAATTTCGAGAAATTCCCATCAAGTTTGTATAAAATCCTGTTTTGACACGATGTGGTGTTTGGTACTTATATTGACATAAGTAGTATATGATGTTAGTCATGAACAGAAGGTCTGGCAGCAGAGAAACAAGAGGATCGAACAGTAAAGAACGGAAATAGAATGCACTTTGTATGAAAATGCAAGAACAATGAAGTCTGAGACATTTTGAGACAACTAGTGGACAATACGCAAATTAACCATTTACTTTATGATTGTTAGATTTTATTAACAAGTTCTGTAATTTTGTGTTAAATACATTCGATTGTTCCCACCCATGTGGGGAATAAACTAAATTATAAGGTTCATTTATATGTAGCATGGTAATAAATAATATTATCATATAAAAATATTACTACTAGTATAATTCAATTATTTTTCAATTATAAAGCTGCCGAAAGCTATATATAATAATTACTTTGTTGCCAAAGAAGCTCTCATTCTAAATGTCATAAAATATACGTTCGTATTATTAGGTGTAAATTTAAGGTGTCCCAAACAATGAATGAATCCTATTTACTTTTGCACCAATAAAGTTAAACTACTATAAAGGAAACTGAATATTAGAAAATGTATTACATAACAAAACATCTTTCTAAATAAATTCCTTTTAGAGCACTTAAGTGGCATTATATTATAGTATTATGAACGACATTATAACGTTAAGAAATATGGCTGCTACTGACTTGTGCGTTAATTAATTAATTAGTTATCACAAATTCTAACAATTATGATCGAATTTATTTGAATGAGCTTACATTTACCTAAATGACATATAATTTGGTATAAAATGTTTCATTGATAATAACATTTCATCGAACAAATGTTCAACTACTTATTTTGTAAGGTGAAATATGTCATTGTTTAACAGATTATGAGTCATTAATGATTCTATAAATTACAATTCGTTTAATACTGAAATAATCTGTTCTTAGATGTTACAGTTACAACTTGTTCAGATATACATCCAAAATCAATTTAAACAATTAAAACATTAAATATTGACTGACTTACAGTGGAAAATTCATTATTCCAATATTTTCAATAAGTGATAATTTTGAATGTCATTCAATTCGAATATTGTTAAAAGATGTTGACTGCAAGTAGAAATGAAGTTGGAAGATACGAAAAATGTGGAAAATTATATGGTTTATAATGACTATAATAATTCTTCATTAGTATGACAACAATTTTTGTTTCCGTTGAAAAAGATTTCAAAAGGACCAAAATATTTTACTGGATAAATGATGATACAAAAAACTATTGGTCAATAGTGAGGTGTTTAACTGGTACTTGTAAGAAATAAAAATGGGCTTTATGATTGGTTAAACTAATTATTGAAAAGGAATATTTTGACTGTATTAATTGGATGATAGGAATGTGATAATCTTACGGCAAACAATTTAAATTTAATGAGCCTTACGACGAAAATCAAACGTAAAACTTTGACCAAGGTTGTTTGTATTAGGCATCATTTTAAGACTCATTATTAATATATTATTGGCATGGGTTATTTGTCCTATTACCTATGGAAAAAATGATCCATGAATCTCATTCTACTGTCAGCAAGATTATTTACCTGTCATCTTGGATATCATTATCTTGAAGTACATTTCCAAAGCAAATTAGTCTAACAATTTTTGAGAAAATAACAGCGTGAACCATGACTGTATGAGAATTTAAAATTAAGTGTATATGTCTCATTGAAAAATAAACTAAAGAGTTTCTGACAAGTGTGTTACTTTTTTGACAGGTTAATACGTAATACACATTTGTTTGTGTTGATATCTTCATTCATAAGGTTAATGATAGAACATAACACATTTGAGAATTAAACTAATTAACTTGGACTGATTAAATACAAAACCAAGTCGCATTAGTAATAGTTTCACAAAAAACATAATAACGAATTGCACGCTTTATAATGTACCTGGTCACTGTTTTATTTCGTTTTCACTTGTTGACAATGTTTTGAGGTACCATTTTTACTTAGTGGTAAATAGTATCAGCCAGTACTTGCCAATTAATTGCAAACCATGAGTCTGTGGAAAAATAAAATATAGTCCCCTTTAGAAAGGTGGATTATTTGCTTAAAGTGTATTTCGTATATATTATGCATACACTATATCTACCATTTACTTATTTTGTCTTACATATAACACAAAACAGGTGAATTGTATCACAGTGTACTATGTTGTATTTTGTTCTGTCATGTGTCCTCTTATTATTTGTATCACGTGCAATGTATCGTCCTTTGAGTTGTGCGGACATTTATAGAATGTGGTTATATAGTTTCAGAGAACTATCAGTTAAGCAGTTGTATAAATTTTACCTCGAAAAACAGAGATAAGCGACTGGTAAATGATTCAACTATACTTAATATCTAAAAGTAATTTGGAAGCATCTTAGTCCAATTTACGTCAATTTCAATAATTAAAATTCTTTTAATTGTTTCCTACTGAACTTGAGACTCGAATCTCCATTTGTCACAGTTATTGTAAACCAAATAGTAAAAGGACATGGCTGATTCAAAAAGCTCTGGAAACAGATTAAATTGTTTTTATCTCTATGATCTTTGTACATCACAGTATAAACTTATATCACATACAGGATAGTTAACAAAGTTGTTTTATGCGGAATATTGTCTCATTTAGTCAAACAACGCTGTATCAAAACCCTAGAAAAAGCCATATGATTTGAACTAATAGTAGTGGTACTTAAATTTGGTTATCGAAATATAAAGTGAAAACTAATATATTATTATCTTGTAAAACGACTCCTGAAATAAATTAACTGTCTCTAAAGAAAAAGAGAATAAATCACAAATACTTTGGTAATGCAAGTTATTATTGCTTGTAGAGCAAACACTTTACTAATAAAGGGAAATATATTTTATCTGAGTGTTATGGTATGAATATTTGTTTTTCCTGATTTTGCGGGAACTAACTACGTTAGTACATGTTGAGTAACATGTTGGAATACATTTTTATCAGCATTAATTATGTTTGAAAAGGTGTTCATTACAGTTGACAACGTTTCCCTAAGTTATCACTCAATAGTGCATATTACAGATGAAAGTAGAACTAGTTTACTGAATAATCATATTTCTTTAAGATATATATATATGTAGTGGATGAGTAACTAAATATTAAAGAGGTACAATTGTATCACTGACAATTGATAAGACCGATTAATACATAGAATGATAACTGAAATCTTAGTTGTATCCGAAATACATTTTATGTGAAACCATATTCATCGCAGCTTGCGGCACTAAAATGTTAGACACCATAGGTTATTGTTTATGAAAAAAAGTGTTTTGATCAAATTGTAATTAGAGTATTTAGTAAACAACAAATAATACCTCATATTTTGAACGTGAAGTTGGTGTTAACTGTGGCATATATACATGAAAATAAATATTTACTAAAACGTTTACCACAGGTTAACAAAATTTGTTGATCATTCACATAATTACAAGAAATGTCACATTAAAATTTCATAGTGATTTGGTTGTTAGTTATGATTATTTGGATAGAACGATAGGTTAAGAAAGCTGACTACATATTCACTGATGTTGTTTGCTTGAATCGTCCCACTGATGTTTGGGATTGCAATTGATAAGTCTCTTATTTGCATATGTTCATACTGTGCATATTTCCCCGATATTGCACTAGCAAGTTGTTATCAGGACTGTGTAGCTAAGTGGGTGACGTGATGGCTTTTTAAGCGAACGGCACTAGGTTCGAGTCCCAACGTGACATGCCAACTCTGGGATGCAGGTACATCCAGCTGACAAGTTGCACGTAGGACGAAACGCGCGTCCTGGATTCCACTGTTACACACCGTTTTTTTATAACTGATTATGTATTGTTGGCTTAACAGGAATCGAAAACTGTATCGGTTAAAATATAAGCTAATTATTCACCATTAAGGTCTCCTCAATTAATAAAGTAGAGTTACAACTCTACTGACAATCAATTCTATTCAACAACGTATCTGTTACTGAATTGAACAATACTGTATGTAATATGTTTCTCTTCAGCAGATAGTAAAATTTTAATACTCCGAAAAGTATATTTTATGATTATTTTCTAACAATCAGTATACACCACTTCAGTAATGAAGACTTTTAAACATTAAACCACAAAAACCTTTTCAATTTGTGTTAGTTTGAGAGGGGGATTTTTAATGCAATCTCCTATCCGTTCGTCAAAGAATAAACAAGAAGGAAGATATAAGAGTAGGCCGTTTCTATTTATTCTTATTAGGCTATTGGAAAAATCTTATTTGTAAGTTATTAATGTAGTGGTATAAAGAGATGCCAGATTGCCTTTTGATTTGGCTTCTCTTTAGATCAAACTATGCAGAATGTTAAATTACACATAAAACAGTCATCGAAGAGGATGATTATCAATGTTATACAGACTTTGGTCAATGTTTTGAACCTTTGACCTTATTGTTTATCAAGTTGATTCTTATGCAAATAGTTCACTAGATATAAAAATAACACAAGATATTTAATAATATATAATTTATTGAAAACAACGCGTTGTTCAGAGCCATTATTTCCCTATATCTTTACTCGGCTATAAACAACCCAATATTTCTAGAGTTCTTTTCAGTTCACAAGCTATGAAATTGTCACTAACGTGATCAAAACACTACACTCAGTGGATATTCATTTATTATTAAATTGAACAGTAAACTATGTATGTACTATGAATTTTGAGCCCCAAACAGATTATCGACTCGAAATAGAAAGTTTGGTAATCAACACACATCTGAGCAATAATCAAAGAAAAATTGTATGTGGACTTTGGTACTAAGACAGGAAGAAAACACATAAATATCTGAATTTATATTTCATAAAGCATGAACAAAAGGCATCGAGAAATAAAATGGAGTCATTCCATTTCATTGCACATATTCTTCATTTTTAAAATGTAGACTAATTTTCACAGTAAAAACTTTGAAAAATGTGACATTTCTTAGAGCATCTATTAACCATTTGGGTATTCTGTTGCTCTTAAACGATTAAACAAGCGAAGGAAAATATAGAGTGATCAATTTATCCGGGTAACCTAAATAGTAAGGTTCTTATGAACTAGATAAACAATGACGAAGTGGTCATAATAATGTTGATAAAAATAGCTCAAGATTTCAAATATGTTGAGTGAGAATACCAATAGATTGGGTGATTTAATTATTGAGGAATTCAATTACTTTTGGAAGATGATAAGAATAATGGGAACAATTGTTAGTAAGTTATAAAACGGACGTGACAACTTGGCCACAATGATTGATGATGGTGGTAGTGTAATGGGATTAAAGGAAAAATTCTCATCCATATTTTAAGTAAAAAGCCGAGAAGAATGGGAAAATATTTCTCTACTATTAGATTTCACTACCTCTCCCTCCCTCTCTCTCTCTCTCTCTCTCTCTCTCTCTCTCTCTATATATATATATATATATATATATATATATATATATGATATTTATAATTTTTAGTTATAAGATAATACATATCGAGTAGTAGTTCAATGTAAAAATACTATATGTCTACGATTGAACTGGATGACACACAATCAAATTAGTCAGAGAGTACTAGTTCGCTCAAGACTACAGGGATTTCTTTCTGACGATTGCCATATAATAGCGTTCCATATTGATTATCATCAACCACGTTGCAGGATGAGGGAAGTTTTAAATATTGAAGGTGAAACAACAAATGTAGGTAAGAAAGTATCTGTAGAGAACGAAGACACTATCGGCTGACTGTAAGAAAGTTAATGTATATTAATTGGGGTTCAAGAAACGAATTACTAGTAATTCTGAGCGACGTATCACTCTGACATTGTGCCATTCATTTAATTTTTAAAAACGTCAACATCGCTTACGAAAGTGCTTAATATCTAGTATAACTATAGCAAAATGCATTTTAGAGTCTAAGTATTAGAGTTGTAGAAAAAAATGGTTTTTTTGTCACACATCAAAATTGTTAGTTATGTAATCTGATCTGGGCTTCTTCAGGGAGACAAGTTGAAGTTGATTAAGACCATAACCAGAAATGTATTCTAATTAAGTGAATAACCATGTTCAAATTGTTTAATATAGTTATGTAAATCTTAGTCATTTAGAAAGAACATTCTTCAAATTGTTATAGATCAGGAGGCCTATATATGTGTGTGTCAAAGCTATCTAAAAATCAGTGATATGTTGTTTGGACTATAATCAAAGCCATAC